AACTGCTTTAAGACGACTGGTCGTATGATGGTTGACTTTCGAACGACTGTTTCGATAATACTCCATTCTAAATATTGCAATTTCATTAAATCTGAACGATTTAGCAATACTCGGCATCCGGCTTGTGTTTTCGATTCGATGACCAGTACATTTTCACCTTGGTAAACCATACTCGATAGTGAAATACTATCTGTTTCCCAAAACAGATTTCGTTTATATTTTTGAGGTAGTTCGAGTATAAAAGATAAAATATTCCCCATGAGTGAAAATATTCGTCTTAGAAAGTCGGCTGGCATATTAATAAACTGCGATGGTGTTATTATTTGGACTATGGTATTGAATTCGTCAGTAGGATCAAGTCCTACATTTAAAAACTTACGGCCGGTGAAGTCGAGTATAAAATTGCTGCAGTCAATCATATCCGCGGGTGGTGCTGGAGGTAAATATGTAAAATTTTTCTTCTTCCAAATATCAGCCATATTTGCGASTGGTCCAGCCATACTTATTTTAAACACTGAAAACGAGACGAAGGCAMGAATACTCTGGTGGATGCAGAGYGACTGAATTCATTTTATGGTATGAAACGTGAACATTGAATATTATTGGGGGGGGGGACATCTGCATGTCCTTGCAGGGGTATTGCATGTTACTACATGTCCGTTAACGTATACAATTGTCTGATTATAGAAGGGGTAGCATGCTCACTATGATTCTTTGAAAAAAAGCCGCCTCTAAGAAAGCGGTCACACACCACAAAACAATAAATTATCAATGACAATAATACGCCCTATGAAAACGGTATAACGGTAAAAGAGTGTTATATAAAAGGAAGGGTATCTGCCACCAAAGCACGAGTCATTGYCACGATAATCCTTTGAAAAAGCCGCCTCCATTTTTCGAGTGATATTTTATATTATATTGGATACTATACATAATATTTTTGATTAAAATAACGTAGGAAGGTTATTCACTATTTATCAGATGAGGGAAAATAACGCTAAGAGTATGTGGCCAGTGGGCTAAAGCGTAAATGATATAAGTATCCCGATCAGTTATTTTGTACTTTTGTAGTCTTTTCCCGTCATATATCAATATATGCATGGATATATATGATAAGTGATAACGGTAATAATGATAAGT